ATAATATCTCGTAGACATCATATATAAATAAATTAAGCTTTCCCAGTTTTGAGTAAATATAGTGTCTATGTAATGATTTCTTATATTTACGCGAACAATATACATTGATTAAAACTACTTTTACGGATTTTATCGCGTTTTATTTATATTAATTTTAATACCCGACGTTTTGGGTGCTTTCCAGCACCCATGGTCACGGGGGACTGAGGTGACTGACGTCCCGATGTCAAAGTTAACCCGGAGTACCTTCAGCTTTTTAATTATTGTTTTTGGTCCGATCTACGCAGAATGAAGTGTGCATAGTGTGAATAGTGTCTATGGTCATTTATTTTGAGTATGCCAGATATAAGATATCAAGGTCGGAAACGAGGAAAGATGATTGCGATTGTCTATTCAACAGTTGTAACGATAATGATGAAGTTAAGGGAGACGGTACTGTTTTTGAGACAATTTATATAGGTATGTATATAATATCAGAATACCGTACAAACTGACAACTCCACATTACCCTATAAACAGTACAAGCGTACTGAAATTACCATCTAGCACTCATTTTAAATATACTTTTTTATTTAGGTACGGGGCAGTGAATTCTCTTTTGGGTACATTAAAGCAAAACGAATACTTTTATTGTTAAATTTAGTGGCATTTAGCACTCTTTGTTGCTGTCTCTGTGTTGACATTAAAAATTAAACTTTTAGATTGAAGACTGACTATTGTAATGTACTGTATTTTGATACGACATTTAACTTGTTGGTTACACAGTTCTTGCATAGACTTTGCGAATGAATTACGGTCTAGAGTCATGTTGCAGCTATGTTAGTGGTAGAGTTGCAGCATGAATAGGTATGCTTGATCGGTGAGGGACCACGCTTTCAAAGAATATCAGCATGAAATAGCAGTTTAACGCTACTGTGTTTCGTATGGTGAGTGTAGAGAACGGGAGACCCATTTTACTGGAAACGAGGCATTCCATAGTCCTCACGGGAAACAACGTGTCTGCATTTTGAGGATAGATGTAGATGTCTATGGGCCACAGCAATCACTTACCATCAAGTGCACTGAACGATAACACGTTTGTCACCCTTATCCTATAAAAAATGTAAGTAAAAATACATTAAGTAATTTACTATAGATATTGATGATCTTCGTCGGTACGAAAACGTATTATGAACAATGGTGATAAGTTGAAAGTTGAAACAACAGATACGTGCATTTAAAATGACTATATTTTGTTAGAAGTTCCATTACTATTTAGTTGAATCATAAAATAACGAAGAGAACAACATTAAGCGTTATCACTTGCTGTTATCGGAACGTCACGTCACGTAGCTCGCCGTTGTTGATGCAATAGGAAAAATTCGACATCAATGCTATCAGCGGCGCAGGGTTGTCGACTTAATTCTAGAAACTTTGATTGATAAGATAAACAATTTCAAGCGATTATGCGAAAATTCACAATGCCTATTTATGAATAACGATTATGTAAATTAGAAAAGTAATTTGCTTATTTATGTTTGTTGCTTTATTAAAGACCATTATAAGTGGTAGAGCCATGCTGCAATTGTATTAGTAGTATAGTTGTATCACGAATGGGTCGGCTCGACCGGAGCAGGACCACGCTCTCATAGAATACCGACGTCAAATACCTAGTGGCTTATTGCTACTGTGTTTCGTATGGTGAGTGTAGAAAACCGGAGACCCTTTTTACTGGAAATGAGGCATTCCATCTTAGTCCTCACGGGTGACAACGCATCTGCATTTTGATTCGTAATCGAAGATCGATGTAGATGTCTATGGGCCACAGCAACTACTTACCATCAGGTGGACTTTGTGCTCCTTTGTCACCCCATCCTATACAAAAAAACCATTTGTCTTACTACATTTTGTTGTTTACAATTTTAATATTGTACTACTGTTTATAGTTATTAGCTACTAATTTTGAAACAAACGTGGGCATACCTAAAATTAGTCGTTGACATATAATGACTCAACTATAGTAACAACTAAAATATTTGAAGAAAAAATTGTTAAATATTACAACAGATTTTACGTCACATAAAACTGATCTGTTTTAAAAACATAACATAAACACTCACGCCTGTCACCCAGAGGGGTAAGCAGAGACTACAGACTTCCATTTGGCACGATCCTGACATACCTCTCTCGCTTCATCCACATTCATATACCTACGCATACATGCTCGTCGGTTAAGGGTACTCCTGATTTGGCCCATTTTCAATATATCGCTAATTTGGTCGATAAACTTTCGCCTAGGACGTCCCTTTCCGAATCACTTCTCTTCTGCAACATCATTTTGCTTTGTCACTCTTCCTCATTTTCTTCCTTCCATATCCATTTCTTCCTCATTCATTCTTTCTACATGACCAAACCACCGAAGCATTCCTTTCTTAATCCTGGTTACAGCATCATCTTGCAAACCGCACTCTTCTTTAACCACACAATTTCTCCCCCTGTCACTCAGATTCAGCCTGAATTGCCATACGTGCCTTTTTTGACTTTTCTCAATAGAGTGTAGAGCCCCATTTACTTTATTTCCTGCGTTCACTTGTCGTTCTGTATCCTTATCATATCACCCATCTCTGCTGAATACACATCCCAAATATACAAACTTATCCACTTGCTATACCAACTCCCCTTCTATTCTTATTTCACATAACGTTTTACTTTTTTCTCTTTCAAAAACCATAACTTTCGTCTTACTTGCGTTCACTTTCATACCCCTTTTTATTTTTATTTATTATTAAAATACAAAATTTGGTTTTTAAATATACATATTCCCGCAAAGCTGCTTACACAGTTTGTCTGCAGGAACATTTGAGTCTCATAATATATATTATAATATATTAATGTTAAGCACTGATACTTGCCAATAAATATTTCTTTAATTTATTTTTAAATATGTTTTTACTGGTTCACGTCGAATGTCCTCAGGAAAACTATTGAAAAAGTACGGTAGTAGTTTCTTTAAAGCTGTATCCCCGAAGTAGTTATTTACTTTTACAACATATTGCCTGCAGATATCGACTGTGTACCCTGACCATGCTTGACCAAGAGTACGTTCTTGACAGCTGTAATTGTTTATGGCAAGTAAATATTTATGTTTTAAACTTACTTCGAGTATTTTGCAGATTTTGAATAGTTTTGTGTAATCACCTTCACAAATAGCTTTAGTTTTTTATTAATGACCTGTTCATTAATGTAACAATCATCTGCAACTCGGCCGCCGACGACGCAAAAATAACTTGATCATCGGTGTACAAAAGGCATTTGATGGTTCACTCACACATTCTTTATCCTTTACTTACTTTCAAATTTTCCAAACAACTGTCTGTAAATAGGTTGAACAGCCACGGGGAAAATACACAGCCCTGTCTGACACCTTTTGTGGATGCCAAACCAGTCCGAGTAGACCCCGTTGATCCTAACACAAGCACTAGAGTCCCTATAAAGATACTTTAATGCCTGTATCAACCCAGCGTTCAACCCAAATGACTTCAGTGCTTGCCATAACACATCCCTGTCCACTATGCCATAAACCTTTTACAAGTCCATGAACGCACAAAAAATTCTATGATTTTTTAATGAAAAACTGCTCCGTGATCATGCGCATGGAAAAGACTTGATCTGTACATCCCATTCCCCTTCTAAATCCCGCTTGCACATCCCAAATTTTTCCATCGGTTTCTTTCATGATCCTTTCAATTAGTGTCTTAGCATACAGTTTTCTCACAATGCTAAGAAGGCCGATACCACGGTAGTTTTTAGTCCTGCTGCAACCCTTTTCCCTTATATATTGGGACTATCCCAGCTTAGTACCAGTCTTCCGGTACCCGCTTCAGTTCCCAACATAAATTAAACAAGGTGTACAGCAGGTCATCCATGCCATCACTTTCTCTCCAGCCCTTAGCATTTAGAGAGAAATTATGATATCCGGCTGTCTTACCTGCTTTCATGCTTTTCAATGCTTTCATTATTTCATCTATACTTATCTCCCTACTTCTTTACTCTTCTTTCGGAATTTCTATTTCATTTAGTTCATACGTCGTCTCCTCACTCTTAAAAACGCTTTCAAAATATTCCTTCCATCTCTGTTAACTCAAAACTTCGTCATTCAGCAAACAGCCATTCTCGTATCTTATAGCATTCATTTTAGGCTGTTTTGAATGTCCCCTGGCAGTTCTTAAGAGTTTCCAGAACATTTTAATATTTGCCTGGAAGTTATTCGATATTCTTCTATCATTCTTATCCCTTTTTAAAACCTCATATTAATGTGTGTATATGTATAATATTGTTTCGTCTGATGATTGCGAATCATAAGCATTCATAGCTTCCTCCACAGATATATTTTTTATTTATGATATAATTTTCAGATCTCTTAAGTTTCTTGAATTAAAGTAGGGTCACCTGTCCAACATTGAGCCAGTAGTACACAATGAAACAATGCTATATTTCAAAAATGCGAAGTTGCCAGATAGTGCACAGTACATGTAAAGACGCGGCCCCAAGTCCCCTCCCACCGCCCCAGTTCGCGACTGCGGCTCGTGCGAAGCAGACGCGTGGCGGTCATTATACGGATTTTACGCAAAAAAGTAAGATTTTTTAATAATATTTGTCGATTTTTCATTATTATATGTTAAAGTTTGCTTTTTTTCTTAATATTGCTTGACATTGTACATGTACTACAGATTTCAGTTACGTACAAAACATACTTGATTGTTTTTATTTTACATTTTTATTTCAAGGTTTTAGAAATATGTGACATATAGTACACAATGAAACAAAACCTCGTTGTACACAATGAGCCATGTTTCATTGTGTACGAATCGTGTTTCATTGTTTGCCATGTGGCTCATTGCTAGTGTTTATGTTTTTTATTATATCTACACAAATAACCTACTAACATTTTTTCTTTTGTTATACGTTTTCTTTTAGTTAAATATTTACTGATGCATTGTAATTTTTACTTTTTGTTTTAGATGGCGCGCACTAAAGTTAATAAAAGAAAGAAAGGTAACCACACTGCTGATAACATGCTTCAGGCTATCAGACATTATAGGCAAGGATGGAGTATTAGAAAAGCAGCTAAAGAGTATAATGTATGCTATCCAACACTGCAACGTTACATTAAAAAAAATGTAAATGTTAGTACTTCGGATTTACACAAGCAGCGATTGACACCCAATTATGATGTCAACAAAATATTTACTAATGAACAAGAAAAATCACTGACAGAATATATCAAAGAGTGTGCGTTAAAATTTTATGGGTTATCCACTAAAGACGTTCGAAGCCTTGCTTATCAAATGGCAACTATTAATAATATTAAAACTCCTGATAGTTGGAATCGTGAAAAAATGGCAGGCCTTGAATGGCTTCGGTCATATAGATCAAGGAATCTGGATTTATCCTTGAAAAAACCAGAATCCTGCAGCCTTGCTCGTGCCACCGCTTTTAACAAAGACACAGTTAAGATGTTTTTTGATAACTTAAAGAACATTATGGAACGCCACCCATCTTTTGGAAATGGCTGTAGAATCTACAATTTGGATGAAACTGCTACTACAACCGTTCAGAAGCCGCTAAAAGTTATAGCACCTAAAGGGCGCCAGAATATTTGTAAAATAACTAGTGGAGAGAAGGGTACATTAGTGACAACATGTGCTATTGTCTGTGCGTCTGGGCAAGCCTTACCTCCGGCGTTAGTTTTTCCAAGGAAGAACTTAAAGGATTATATGATGACTGGCGCCCCCATTGGATCCCTCGGACTTGCTAATCCAAGTGGGTGGATGAACGCAGAGTTGTTTATTGAAGTAATGAAGCATTTTATAAAACATACCTCTGCAAGTTCAGAAAATCCAGCTTTATTGATCATGGACAATCACGAATCCCATTTAAGTATTGAAGCTTTGGACATGGCGAAACGTTCTGGAGAGACAATCCTTACATTACACCCCCACACAACAAGTAAAATGCAACCTCTTGACGTGGGCTTAATTGGTCCCTTCAAAGCCTATTATAATAGTGCCGTAGATTCATGGTTAATGAGAAATCCCGGAAAACAGATGACTATATACAATATAGCCGAGTGCGTAGGATACGCATATGCAAAATCAATGACGCCAGTTAATATAACCTCTGCTTTTAAAAAATGTGGTATTTTCCCATTCGACGCAGACGTTTTTAGCGAAATTGACTTCATGCCATCTGCTGTTACTGATAGAGACCAACCGGAAACGTCATCTGCGAAATTAATGGCTGCACCTTCTGAACAATTAAACGACAGAAAGAATCTTGTTAGTCCATCATCAGATATTACCTGTGCTCATAGTCCAATACTGTTTGAGGAAAACCCTTCTGAAGATGTTGGAGGTAATAATACTGGAATCCGGAGTGCTGAAAGTCCATCTTTATTGGAATCTACTACTCCTGAACACATTATGGCTCTTTTTGAAGCACAAAATTCTCAAAGTCCATCTTCAATTATGCACGAAGTTCTGAAAGATACAGGCGACCGGGCATTTAAATCACCTAAAGAATTTATGCTGCCCTTAAAAAGTGGACCACGAGCTGGACGTCGTAAGCCGAGAAAACTAGGAAAAAGCATGATTGCTACGGATACGCCAGAAAAGAATCAGATAGCTGAAGAACGAAAAAAAACACGAGACAAGAAGTCTGCGGCAAGTGCAATTAAACGACCTATACTGCAAGACAAAAATTTCGAAGAACCAAGGAAAAAGAAGAAAGCAAAGAAGGTTGTAATTCCATCAGATCCTGAAACAAGTGAAGAGGAAAATTTTGAGGTTATAGATTTGAGCGAGTCTGATATAAGTGGTAGAGAGGATGAAGATGAAGATCTTGATGCTGACAATTTACCTATGGTAAACGAAAACTTTCGAGAACTAGAAAGAAAGCCTAAATGTAATGATTACGTATTGGTATCATTCAATACTAAAAAGATAAAAATATATTATGCTGCAGTAATAACAGAAGTTTTGAATTCTGAGACCTACGTAGCGTCTTTTATGAGACTTATAGTAAAAGAGGATATGAAATGTAAATACTACATGCCATTAGAACCGGATTTTGCTGAAGTGAATATTACAGATATTAAAATGATTCTACCGCTACCAAAAATAAATGGCACAAAAACCCGAAACTCTACTTATGTTTTCCCACTTCGCATGTCACCAAAGTTAAATTTGCGATAGTAATGTCATTGACTAGCTATGATGTTTATTCGTTACAGTTTTCTTTACTATAATAGTATTACTTATTATGAGACTGATTGTTATTATTTTTTGTTGTTTTTTTTAGTGTTTGATAATATTTTTTAACTATTAAAATGTTTAAGTTTCTCTTACTTTAATAAAACTCACTCAAAATAAAAAAATGTTCTGTATTTTTTTTTAATATAACAAAAATAAACTAATAAAACGAAGGTTATAAATAAAAAGCACTATTAATGAAATTACCAAATTTATTGCAAATAGTACAAAATAATAAGTACATTGGATCCTGGCTCATTGTTAAATATAGCTAGGCTCATTGTGTACTCACATAAGTACACAATGGATCATTTCCCATTTTTTAAAAAAACCTTAGTCATGATATATCTACAAATGTTTTAAGAAAAAAAATAATGCTAATCTGTAGACAATTAAATTTGCTATCTTCGCCTAAAAACTTACACCTAATATCTTAAGAAACAGCGGAGTTATTAGGTTTTAAAATTTAGGTGGCCCATTGTTGGACAGGTTACCCTATATATAGGCAAGTCTTTTAATTACTGGTTTAATCAAGAGTAAAAAGGTCTTACTCTAGTAAAGCGTCGAATTGTTGGTAACGTGGTAACCACTGTTGATTATAGGGTTTTTGAGAAAAAAAATTCATCGGGAAACGTACCATATATTTGCGACGAATTGCTAATGAACTGCTTATTATATTTTATTGTATTTAATGTATAACGGACGCATATTTGCGCCATCCATTATGAGTGAATATGAAGATGATCCTCTTTCGCCTACCTACATTGTAAGTGGGATTAAGTTCCTGTTATCGCCCGCATATAATCCTCAGGAATAGTGTGATGAAGGCGTGATACTGTGTCTTTCGTTCTTGACTGGAAGTATAATAATGGCATGTACCGGGCAATGCCGTGCTCGGCTGGTCGAAAGGACACATTCGTCCGGTCCAGGCTTATGGAAATACATTGGTCGAAGGGATAATGCCATCCGGTCCATGCGTGGTCGAAGGGACGAAGGGTCGAAGGGGGAAGACGCACCGGTACAGTCAGGTTGATCGAACAGAGTACGGATAACAGTATCGTCCGGGGCAAACCCGAACAGTTGGTCGTAGGGACATACTAGTATGCAGCTCTATGTTATGGCTGAGAGAAAGATGCTGTCCGGTCCATCTTTGGTCGAAGGGACGCATGCTTTCTATTATTGTATGATTGAGGATGTTAGTCTTAGTATATCCACAATAGAGTATGGGTGCGTTTGGCAGAAAAAAGCGCTAGCAAGCGCTTGTAAGCAAAATGGCGATCGTAAGCGGTAAGCGCTGTCAAATCGTAAGTAGCTATTTTCGTCCAGGACACGATGTTAGTTTTAACCGGGGGAACCTAACCTTATTTAAATATATGTTTGTTTAGTATTCATATTAAAAACTTACCAATCATGAATTTTTAATAACATGTATATGTCTATTCATGTCATTATATTACTTAAAACTAATATTGCACAAAACAACTTATAAACTCTACTTCAAAACAAACAAATTAAATAAGCAAAATGGCGGATTGTGTCAGCGCTACTGAAGTAGCAATCGTTTCCTGGCCGAAAACTATTTTAGCGCTTGTAAGCGCTTGCTAGCGCTTTTTTCTGCCAAACGCACCCTATGTGTTGTTAAAATGAATGATACCTATCATCTAATGACCTTTGTTGGTCGAAATATATAAATAAATATTTTCAAATCAGCAAAAATTTGTTAACTTAAAAAAACTTTCCGGTAAAAGGTATGTTATTAATTAACACGTTAATTACGTTATTAAGTAACGTAAAATCAATTTATACTTGTATTATATTAATTCTTAGTGATAATACTCCCTTGGTGATTCGACAGCTTTACGCTAGATGACGTTGTAAATGGTAGAGCTTTATTGAGCTTTTTATTTTACCCAAGGCTCAAAAGAGGGCGTTACGGGTAGCGTTATGAGTTTCTTTTTGCTTGCTTATTTTAGGCCCGACATAAATTGACTTGTAGAGCCGTTAACATATTAGGTAGGTCATGATCTCTGCACACAGATTACCCTAAGAGTTAAGTTAACAAATCAAGGATTTTCTTCATATGGTATTTCAATTTTTACACTCTAATTGAACATTGACAAGGATAAAACTAAAAAAAAATCTTAAGATAGCGTTAATAATGTAGGCATTTTTTTAAACGCGATTTTTTTACAAATTCGGAAAATGGCGTTAAAAATGAATGAAATATTTTTGTTTAACTTGATAAGTACTCATATTGAAATTCTTCTTATCTAATAAGTATATAAAAATAAAGTTTTTTTTTGCTCGTATTTTATGTGCTGCCATACCGTGCATCAAATTGCGGTAAAACTTTGTCAACATATTGCCTGCATTTCCGCGAAGGTTATAGGCATGGTGGGACTTGCACCCGGTAGGTGGCGCTCTTGTAGAATCTAGATATCAACGAGCCGAGAGCGAGAAGCCGTGGCATATCGCTATTAAATAAATAAAATAATCAATTTCGTTATATTCATTGCACTTTATTATTTAAATAAGTTGAAAGCTAAAGTTACAATCGTATTATATTACGTATATATACGTCCCACTGCTGGGCACAGACTTCCTTTTATTTCAAATAGAGGGTTTTAGTTAATGTTTGCCGCGCTGCCCCAATGCTTGTTGGCGAACTTCACATGTTTTGAAATAATTCTCAGACATGCGGGTTTCCTCACGATGTTTTTCTTAATCGCCGAGGGTAAATCAGCATTTAAAATTGTATTTAACAACTTCATTGGTGCCGGCGGGGATCGAACCTGGGTTGCTCGTGTATTGTAAAATTTACAGCGAGCGCTTTGCCCCTGACCTACTACGGCTTTTACTTTATTATTTATCTGTTATTAATATATAGTCACCGGGCTTAGTCGCTTTATGGACTACTAAATAACTTAATATGCCATCAACTTGAGTTTGATCCCATGCCTTCGTTTTTCTATAACAACTATGCTGTTGTGCCAGGGGGTTCGGTCAGACGACCGCGAGCAACACGAAAGGCACTGAAATCAACATATATAAATATATATGTGAATAATTTTGACACAGTGTGGCTAATAAATAATGAAACTATAGAAATAAAGTGCATGAAAATTCGCTAATGTGTATATCTTTATATATAAAAATTACGTGTCACATTGTCCGCGATGAACTCCTAAACTACTGAACTGATTTCAATGAAATTTTGCATACTGTGTGCAGTTTGGTCCAACTTGAGAGATAGGATAGTTTTTATCCCGATAAGTGACCTGCAATACTTTTTTATTGCGAATTTAAGGATTTTTTTATAAGAAGGGTCGTCGGACGAGGCAGAACGTCTGCCCTAGGGATGTTAAAAAATAATCGATTTTTATTTAAATCTATTATTATTTTCTTATAATAGATTATTTTATTATTGATTTTTATAGTAATATCGATTTTTAGTAAATCGATTATATAAATTACGTGCTTAAATCGATTTTCAGAAAAAGCTCGTATCTATGCGATGTACGAAAAAATCTTGCAGTAAGTTTCAATTTTATAAACAGAGTGAGATAAAGTCGTTGCCGTTGTTGGTAAACAATAAAAATGTCTTCTAACCGTAAAACACCTAAAAGCGGCTAGCGAAAGTATTTTATAACGAAGAAAGAACTGCAAGTACTGTTCGAAAGAATTAAAAACTTGTAGCAATACCATAAATTTAAAACACCACATAGACCGAAAACATCCCGCTGTCTTACTGGTAACAAGTATAAGCGACAGAACTGGACATTTGTGGCAATAATTATTTTTAATTTTATTATTGTTTAAACTTGAAGATTAATTTGTGCCCTTTTTTAATTTTTTTTTAATTTTTTTTTAAATTGGGGTAGTTTGGGGTTTTTTTTTAGGTTTGGTGAGAAAAAAAAAATTTTTTTTTTTTTTTATAAAAAAAAAATAAAAATTCAAAAAAAAAAAAATACTCTTTTTATTTATATAATTTTTTTAATATATTATTGGTGTTTTTTTTTTTTTTTTTTTTTCTATGTGGGTTGTTCTTTGCGTTTGGGTCTCGGGGGGGGGGGGTTTCGTTTCGATCAGAAAATACATACCGATAAGGGATCCGCGATAAAAAAAAGAGGGGGGCTTGGCTTTATGTTCCTTTTCTATTTTCGAAAGATATTTTTATTTTTTAGTTTTTGAGGCCATAAAGTAGTTGTTAGGGATTTTAAATAATCCTTTTAATTATTTTATTTTAATACTAGTCAAATGTAAAATAGGACTGGACATTTGTGACAACAATCATTGTTTTATCGTTTAAACGAAGATTAACGAAAGATTGTTTTATATTTTAGTTTTTGAGATCATAAAGTTTAAGCTTGAAGAGTAACGAAAGATTGTTTTATATTTTAGTTTTTGAGACCATAAAGTAGTTGTTCAGGATTTTAAATAATCCTTTTAATTATTTTATTTTAATACTAGTCAAATGTAAAATAGGACTGGACATTTGTGACAATAATTATTATTTTATTGTTTACACTTGAAGAGTAACGAAAGATTTGTATTTTAGTTTAGTTTTTGAGACTATAGCGTAGTCGTATAGCTTTTTTTTTTAATTCTCATTTTAATTATTTTATTTCAAAACTAGTCAAATGTAAAATAGGACTGGACATTTATGAAATTTTTTCTTTAGTTGATTTTATAATTTAAGTTTTTGAGACAATAAGTTTGTCATTTTGTTGGGATGCTCATCATTTAATATTTATTATAATAAATAAAACGTTTAATAGTACTGAAATTTGTATCAATAATGCTATTTGGTTTCCTAATTCCTTACCTTGAAATTTTAAAGGAACGTAGCCTTTGACTTTTAGTTTTGAATTGGTTATTTTTTATTTATATAATTTTATTGGAACAAAAAAATATGATTTTTAATCTGAAATTTGATTTTATTT